TAACTAAAGTATAATATACATTAAGATGATCATCAGACCACGAACAGTTTTAAGTCATCCTCTCTATCCTAATGAAACAGTATTTTATGTCGGAAATATTAAATGAACAGAGAATATCCGTCCTATTCGCGTGTTTAAACTATCGAGCAAAATGAAAAGAACATAACGAGACAGTTGGTAAACGACAGAAGAATGAGCCAACGTCGCGTGCCAAAAGGCAGAGGAAGTGGTGGTGGTAGCCATTGACGGGGGCCAACGATGAAAAAAAATTTTTTTAAATGAAAAAATTAAAAAAAAGAAAAAAAAGGATGAGACGACGCTCGGACACAACTTCCACGAAATATTTCTATGGTGTCTGTCATCGATCGAACGTTTAATACCATACACGAGCAGGATATTCTTCTTAATCGACAGAATGGTCGAGAACGTTTCGTGTAACTCGCATCTTCCAACATACGTATATACATTCTTCCCTCACTATCTCACTCTGCCAATCTTTATCTTTCATATGAATGCTTTCATACACCTGCTGCTACACACCGAATAACAATTGGTATTCTTTTCTCGAGATTTTTTTTGTCGTTTCTTTACGTTAACTATTCAAAAATGGCTGTCGAAAGAAACAAAAGTTAGGCATCGAAAAATACAGTCTCCAATAGTTGTCATACCTGCCAAAAAATTGTTTTGATTTTTAACTCCTTCCAATAATGAAACAATACCCTTTTTTTAATATAAGAATTGAGAAAAACAATAGGGTTTTTGTTGAATTTAGATTTTCAAAATTTTCTTAGTACCCGTTAGTATCATTTAAGATTACACGTTACCCCCTTCCCCTTAATTGTCAAACGTAATTTAACTCGCTTTATCTTTATTATTATTATTACTATTATTAAGGAACTGTCAACTTTATCGTAAAAATCTCTAGTTAAGACAAACGATAAACGCATGAAACATAATCTCTCAATAAAATAGATAAAAACGATCTCTTATTACTCGGTGTTATCTTCACAACGTAACTGTATTGTAAGAAAAACTATACCGAGATAAACGTTCTATAAACGTTGACAATAATTTTTATGATACACGCATAATTCTTAAGCTCGTTGCTCACTATCTGTCAATGACTAACAATTTGATCGATGGAAGGTTGAAAATACAAACAATCACACCTGATGATTCCAATTTTTGAATCATAATATCTTATAGAAAATTAATGCTTTTATTTTTCTTATTATATTTATATAATAAATTATAATAATTATCCCAAAATATTAAATTAACTACATTGTAGTTTGATATAATCTCTTGACACAAATTATAAACTTTATTTTCTAAGCTACACAAACGGAAAATGAAAAATTTCTGGAAAGAATACGCTTAAGATACTCGAATATCCAGGTTAATAAACAAATATGAAAATTTAACTTTTGTTATTTAATTGCCTATACGAAAGTTGAAGTCACATTTTTCCTTATACCATACAGTATAATCATTCTTATGAAATTTTTCACGACTGTCAAAACACCATTTCTTTCTAAAAGGAAAGGCTTAGTAAATCTTATAATTTATTTAAGCAATTAGGCAAATTAGAAGATTGTACAATATTTAATCGAACATATTATCAACGATAACATCCATTTGATCAAGAAAAGAGAAAAAGAAAGTAATGATCATTTTCTTGTAAAAGTAGTAACTTTCTAATCGATAACTATGTATATTAGACGGAACGACGAGAAAGGATTAACCCGAATTAGAAATCCTACGGGCAGGTAAACGGCTCCCGGTCGAGAACGCTGAAGTCCACAGGCCGGAGGTATTCCAATCCATACAGAGGATGGTTGAAACGAAGCTACAAACTTACTCGAGTCTGGTCTCTAAGGGGGACTTTGATTTATTCGTCCCGGGAGCGCTTTGCGAAGTTGCGGCCTTCCTGTGCGAAGAAAACGTTCCGAGACTGGCACTGAAGATAACCTGACCATGTCATATACCTTTTATATTTATTAGTGAAAATGTTAAATCCTTGAAAAATTCTATAGCATTAATATAGTAGAATTTTATATTTTCATGGTAATTAATCAAATAGAATTAGACTAATTATTCATGTTATATAATGCAAATATATAATAATGATGAAAAATTGATGCAAACAAATGATCAATCTTACTTGACATCGTCATAGGTTTTTGCAAAGGCGTTATGAAAAAATGCCATATTTTTAGGGCATAAGTGGCAAACTTTGAAGAAAAAAGAAAAGACGGAAGTAGATAGAATAAAGAAAAGCTGAGAATTCCAAATGATATGGGTCTCGAGTCCCTCGCGTATGTTTATATAGTATCTCTGTGTGTACTTGCTTCGTACTTCACGAGTGCCTCCGAGAAAGCTTCCAAGTCTCCAAGAGCTGCATCGGAGCCGTCGACATCCCGCTGTTAGCTCGGCCCTTTCAAGTTGACCGCCATGGCAGCGGGAGGCTTCGCTTGCCAACCCTCCGATATATTATTACTCCAAGTCATTAATGGTAAACTGCAATTCTCTTTTCTACTTCGGACAACTCGAGACAAGCGTTTTCGCCGTGGGGCGAATGATTCTCCGGCAGCCTCTTCCACAACCGACTTCTCTTCTCCTTCATTTCTGTCTAATCTATCTCTCTCTCTCTCTCTCTCTCTCTCTCTCTCTCTCTCTCTCTTGTTCTTTTTCTCTTTCTCTTACTAGAACATCAGCGAGTAGTTGTATCTCCTACAGCAACCTTCAGATTAGAAAAGTGTATCTTCCGCGAAACCACCTGGCATTCGAATTCGTGCGGTCGACCCACTGGAATCGTGCAAAGTTAGCCCAACTTGCTTCGTTTACCACACCAAATTCTAGTTGTTCTCTCTACCTATCTCTCTGTGCCTATCTCTCTGTTGGTACCTATTATTTCTACCTCTCTTGCTTTTAAAGCAGTACGATATCACCGCAAATTTACTACGAATTTCAAGATGTAAACAACGAGAGTATATAAGATAATCTTGATGAACTCTTGTTTTAATATTTTTATTCTTTATTATATTAATTCATCTACACCGCTTAATAATTAATTAATTAAGCATTATAAAATTTATACCTGGAATATATTATTCGGGATTATGCTAACTACTATTTGTCTAGGTTTTTCTTAAATTACTTTTCCTTGTCTGTGTGTGTGTATACTTTTTTAATACTTTATAAACATTTGAATAAATTATTTATTTAACTATCTATGTGTCCGGCTTGATTATTCTTTTCTTTATTTTATACGAAAATTTAAATGCAAATTCCGTCACGTTGACTCTACTGATTTACTAGCCGTATTACGTGCTCGTCGTCGTTCGCTCTTGGCAAGTCCGAACCGCGCTCTAAAGCGGCATTGTGGCGCGTTGGTATGGAACTAATAAACTCACGACTTTCACGGACAGAGTTATTACAGTCTCGGCGGCACCGCTCGTCCCTTTTCCTCTTTTGCCCTCCTCACTTTGCTTCTCCTTCCTACCTCACGCGCCGTTTCGTGGCCTGTAAGTACTTGGCTCGTCCTTGCCCCCGGTATACCGCCAGCACACTTCTTCGTCCTTCTTGAATTTTTTTCCTTCCATCTTTTCTTCCTTCTTATTCTACCCTCATCTTCCTTTTCCTCCTCCTCCTCCTCCTCCTTCTTCTCCTCTCACTCTTACCTCTATCATGCTTTCAATTCTTGACATAGGGACTCTCTTTTCGAATAATTCTTTAAAAATGCTTTTGGTAATAAAATTAAAGTAATAGAATAAAAAATATAAATATTATCATTGAGTAATCATTTTTATATCTTATGTGAGACTTTATATATATACGATAAATAATTCTTCTCTGGTTAAATATTTTCTTTCATTTCGATCGATAGGATATATCAACAGTATTATAATTTAATAATAAAATTAATATATCATATCCCATTGATATAATTTAAGAACTTCTTCTGTCTACTAATTTAAATTCATTAGGCAAAGATAATTTGTGCCATTTGTTAAATGAGTTTCTTGCATTTTGAAGAACGACTTCGACCAAAAAGGATTCGCTAAGAATGAAGACTAAATGCGAGGATGTAAATCGCCTAATTCCCTTTCAAAATAATCCTCGCGAGGTCGAGGTTCCGTGAGTCGAATTCCGTGAAGCACGATGCTGCGATAAAAGGAATAAGAATGAATAAGAGAGAGGGAGAGAGAGAAAGCAAGAGAAAGGGTGAAAGGATAAGGAGGAGGAGGAGGAGGAGGAGGAGGAGGAGGAAGTGGAAGTGGAAGTGGAAGTGGAAGTGAAGAAGAAAGGTACTACTTGGACAAAGCCGCAGGCGGCCGTCTCTCGGCTTATGGAGCCCTTGCGATCGTTGTCGCAGAACGAAGGGGCAATCGAGTTACACTCAACGACTCTTCGTTGTCTCCGCCAACGTTATATATATATATAAGTTTCCTGTAAAAGATAGCTAGATAAATAAGGAGATAGATAGAGATAAAGAGCGAAGATAAAGATAGCGAAGACGAAGAATGATCTCTTTATCTTAATTCCATTAAGTTCTACAGGACGGCAGTTTCGATTGGGTAAACTTGCACACGCATACATACGCACGAACACGCACATATAAAGAAAATCAACATTTCTCTTCTTGGTACCTCTATGAAATTTCAAGAACGCGCTAGCTCCTTCGACGTCTTCTATCCACTTATTACAAAGGACACTCAGCGTTGCTATATTCTTCTCTATTTCACTCTCTCTCTCTCTCTCTCTCTCTCTCTATATATATATATATATATATAGATGTATACAAAGTTTTATATATAGAGTACATATATATATATATATATATATATATANATATATATATATATATATACCTATATATTTTCCCCTTTCAAACTTTCTTCACGTTGTGTCCCGTCTTTCTGTCAACTCGACTACTCGTTTAAGGGCTTAACGAGTAACGCGCATAAACTTAGTTGGAAATTGAATTTTTGTTGCAGAGAGGTACGACACCGCGTACGCCTGCGAGGGCAAAACGCTATGGATCGAGTGCGGCGAAGGAAAGCTGATCCACCTGATAAGAGCCAACTATGGGAGGTTCTCGATAACGATATGCAACGAACACGGGAATACAGACTGGAGTGTCAATTGCATGTCGCCAAAAACTTTTCGCGTTCTCAATAACGAGTAAGTTTTTTTTCCATTGTCTTTTTATTATAGATTTTATTTATTGTTATCCTTACAATTGCCCCCAAATCCAAGATACCTCCCGCAGTCCAAGGTATGGAGCAAAGAGCAAGGAAATAACTAGCACAAATTTCGATTAAAGAAATAGGAAGGAAAGGAAAGAGGAACGAAAAGCGAATAGGAGAGTGTTTCGTATGATTCGGCGAATTGGCCAATCGTTCGACCATCGAAACGCGTTTTTCGCTTTTTATTCCATATATTCCTTTCGTTTTTTTACTTTATTCCTTTTTTTTTGCCCAAAAACTTATTACAAATTTTGTTCTTTTATTTGTAAGATCTTAAATGTAAATACTTATTTTTAATTATATTTAATTATGTTATGTGTTATATTTTATGTTATTACAAAAATTATCAGATTTCTTTCACGAGTTCTCGCGCACCCCGTCTCTTTTTTTAGAAATAAACTTATGCTTTTCGCGCTCAGTTTTTTTTATTCTTTACCATTTATTTATTCATACTTCTCGAGACTTCTAGAAACTATCGTCTTTTTTATTTATTTTTATTTTTGTTTAATTATTTTTTTTTTCTATTAATTTTTCTTTTTCTTCAATAACGCAATCGATTACGAGAATCCTTTTCTACGTTGCTTTAAATAATTTTAATTAATACTTTTAATTACTTGCACGCTTGTGAAATAACTACGTTTGGCTTGTGCTTTTTATATTGGTCAGTTCAATTCGATTTATCGCATGCTGGAGTTTTACTCATCAAACCTTTCATTCGCAATCAGCAATACTAAATTTATGTGTATCAATGCAAATAATATTAAAAAATAGCTTGGGGTATTTTCTTCTTTATTCGCTAACAACTTATTCGATGCTTTCGATAATGGAAGGTTTAATCAAACAAATGGAGCAAGTAATATTTTACGATGGACACTGTAATATAGAAAGTAATATCTAAATATGCTCATAAAACGAGAAAACTTAATAATACCACACCAGAAATTTGATCATTTTAATATTAGTATAATATTTCGAATAATACGTGCTCTTTCAGTTTAAACTCGTTGTGGTCCTATATTGAGTCACATTTGATATTTCATTTCTATGACGGATATAACAACAATTGTGTTTAAAAAATTCTTTTTAATTTTTTTAAATATCAAGGTAATTTCGAAGATATACCGATAACATCAAATTGTACAATACATTCGTTTTTAAACTTATTAAAAATGTTCGGACTGCAAAGAGTAAAAACCAGCAATTAAAGGTGATGACACTAGACGCTTTTTAAAGCGCGTTTATATTTCTCTCTAATCTTTAATTCGTAGAAGAAAAATACTATCGCGTCTGTATCAAAGCTTCTTTCTTTGCCAATTATAATATGCCAATTACATATATACGTATGTTATTCAAGCGAATCCGCGTTAGCTTTCACACTACCCACAGATCTACAAAAGCGCATAAGTTACGTAATAGAAAGAGAAAGAGAGAGAGAAAAAATGAAAGAATCAGAGAAAGAGAGAAAGAAGAGAAAGAAAGTCTTTGAGGAGAATAAAACGCAAACCAAAATCATTTAGGAATTCCGTTTAATCGTACCGCCTAGCCAAAACCAATTGCAGATTAACCGTCTGTCGGCTACGTTTCTCGGGACAAAGCGCAAAGCTACTAAACAGCGAGCTTGTGAGATGGAACGGGCAAGTGGAGAAAGGGAGGAGTGTGGGAGAATAGGAAGAGAGAGAAACCAACCAAGTTGCAGACACTTGAGATTACGATTAAAGAGAAAACACAAGAGCTTTGCCGAAACGATTAATGAAATTGGATGCGGGGCCCCTACGAAACTCTGCTTTCTCTCGCATCCGTGATTCACCGTTCGAATTTAATGATCGCACCTGTTTCTACACGGTTGCTTTTTATTTTCTTACCAACTCGCCTAAAGATCATAAGTACTTTTAATAAAATATGATGTACTAAATAATTCTGAAATATAGTATCAACCGAATGTAAATTACTATTAGAAATTTTAATTCGTCATACGAACCGTTCAGTTATGGAACTTTTACAAATTTGAAATGGCAAAGCACTTATTTGGCAAATGCTCTAAATTTTTTTATACGAAAAATAAATTTCTTTTACACTATTTATGACCAAAATTAATATTTAATAAGAAATAATAGTTAAATAATAGTTTAGATCATTTTATTAATGTTTTATATTTTTCATTGTGTAGAATCAATCGATTAGACAAACAAATGGCTCATATACCAATGAATAGTTTTTTAAAGCTAAATTAATTTCGTTTTTCGAAATATTTCTCATCATTTTATCTTCGTCCTTGCACAATAATGAAACGTATTATTTTTCAAAAATATCCCTTATAAACGTAAAAATAGTGATACGTTATATTTCTAAATCCCCCTGTAAACGAATCTTTCGGAAAAATTTCTCATCGCGTTGAAAATTAGTGATGCCAATTGAGATTGAATGAAATTTACCATTATAAATTCGGGAAAATAGAGAGAGAGAAAAAAAGAGAGCCGTTCATAAAGGTCAACATTCGAGCTTGTCAATGAATAAGCACTAGAAATTTTATTAATTTTTTTCTTACATCGAAACAGAAAAATAATAACTGATTTCTTCGTCAACTTTATTACAACATCGAATTAATAAATACAAAAGAAAAAAAAAGAAAAAGAGAAAGAGAGAGAAAGAAAGATAAGTAAAGTGAGCTTCATCTTTTCAAGACGACGACCTGCAAACGAAACTTTCATTCTATCGATAAACAAGTTTCGGTCTTTCTCCCGTGAGGTGAAATAAGAGAGGAGGAGAAAAAGGAGGAGGAGTCAGTGCTAACTGACTAATGAAATGATCGTAGCACTCGTTCTTCTTCCTCGGAAAAACTTTTCAGTTCGTATTTTATCGTTCGTACTTTCAGTACGATGTTCTCACCTCTTTCTCTCTCTCTCTCTCTCTCTCTCTCTCTCTCTCCTCAACGTTCTTTCGTCGACAACGCGATAACAAGAACCATCTTTTTAAAGAATATCAGACTCAAAAGTAGACGACATAGAATAAAAGAGTAAATTTACACTCAATGAATTTATTATAGAAAAAAAATAGCGTCGCGTGGCAACTATTCATTTTTAAACCATACACTTTTAATGAATCTTTTTAGGAGTTTCGACGATACATTTGTGACAACTCTCTCTCTCTCTCTCTCTCTCTCTCTCTCTCTCTCTTTCTCTTTCTTTTTCTATCCTTCGATCTCTTCTCCTCGTCGGTTGCTTACCAGCTTTTCACTACCTAGTAGAAGAGATTCAAGTGAACCGAGAAACAAATAAATATATAGGTGTGGGTAAAGAGAAAACACATAGATAGAAATGCAAACGGTACACACCAAAGTTTCCGTCGACAAAACTCGTTCAATCCCTCCGTGGATTAAGAGGAAGAGACTTTTGGGTGAGCGAGCTCTTGTTTGGGTACTTAAAAGTATTCCAATTACGAATATGCAGAAAGAGAAAGTCCGAAGAATATTTCTCGCTCTGAAACTAGAGCGGATTCGACCGAACCTTCTAGAAATGTTAAAGTAGGGATGACAATGCAAATATAATACCCATACAAAATGTCTATTTCGTATCGAAAGAGGAGGGGGGAGGGAACGGCACTGAGTTTATCGCGATTGACGATTCAACGTTATACTGTACTTTTTTTTTCTCCGATAAAAAATAGAGTAAGCATATATGCATATATATATATTAGGGTGGGTCAAAAAAATGACTTATTTTTTTTTTTCAAGTGCCACGCAAAAATGGGTTCCTAGACACCTTAAAATAATTCTCACCAAATATGAGCTCTTAATTTTAATAGGAAGATCCTCCGCATCGCAGTTTTTTATTTTTTTTTCAGTCCAATAGATTAAAATTCATACCTCATTATTTATTGATTGTACAGAAAAATGTTCAAGACAAATTTTGTAGGAAATTTAATGCTCTACAAAAAAGGTATCTTATACTTTTTCCGTAAACCTCACCATTTGAATGATATTGAAGATTTAAATTTGATGATTTTTAGACAAATCTCATTTTTGCTTATGAATTTTATAACTCAACAATAAATGACTATTAAAAAGTGAACAATACAAATTTTTGTAGGAAATTTACTGCTGTATAAAAATGGTGTCTTATGTTTTGGCGATTAAATTAAGCGTTCAAAAGATATTTATCATCAAACTTTCATGTATACTGATTTTTGTCTCTGAAT